ACTCCTGGGCTCAAGCAAGTCTCCTGCCTCCGCCTCCCAAGTAGCTGGGACCACAGGCGCCCGCCACAACGCCTGGCTATTTTTGGTTGCAGCCATCATTGTTGTTTGGCAGCCCAGGCTGGATTCGAACCCGCCAACTCAGGTGTATGTGTCTGGCACCTTAGCCACTTGAGCCACAGGTGCCGAGCCAAGTTTGTTTATTATTAATTTATTAGCTATGAAATGTCTGATTTCCTAAGTGCTAAGTTTGGCTGATGGTGGCTCTGAGGTTTCACCCTGACACACCTTGTTTTATGTTTATTGGGAAGATGCATTCTCTTTCTTTCAAATGCATGTTTTGGCTTGTGATTATCTTTTCAAATTTTTTTAGAGCAATTATTGAGAAGTCAAAAATGCATTTTATTTTCAAATACGGGTAACATTGTGGAACCAACACAGTATAGTCACGGGAAATATCAAAGCACTTGGGAAGGATGTGGCTAATGAACGCACAGTACCTCTATGGGAATTTTAATCTTGAAAATGAGCCACATGGGCAACCTGAGACCAAGGTGGACAATGATGAGCTAAAAGTTCTAGTGGAAGCAAATCCATCTCAGCCTAAATGTGAATTAGCAGCAATGTCTGACGTTACTATTCCACTAATACTGCACCATTTGAAGCAAGTCACAAGGTAAAGCAGATGGATGGGTTCTACTTGAATTAAGCGTCAGAAGAGAAATCGTGGCTGGGCGCCTGTGGCTCAAGTGGCCAAGGCGCCAGCCACATACATCTAAGGTGGTGGGTTTGGCCTGGGCCCACCAAACAACAATGCTGGCTGCAACCAAAAAAAAAAAATAGCTGGGTGTTGTGGCAGGCGCCTGTGGTCCCAGCTACTTGGGAGGCGGAGGCAGAAGAATCACTTGAGCCCAGGAGTTGGAGGTTGCTGTGAGCTGTGACGCCATAGCACTCTACCCAGGGGAACAGCTTGAGGCTCTGTCTCAAAAAAAAAAAAAAAAGAAGAGAAATTGTCTTGAAGCCTGCCTTTTTTTGATGTCACGACGTAAAAGAGAACAATTTCTATACTGTGTTAACATGTGATGAAAAACAGATTCTTTTTGACAATCACAAGTGTTTGGCACAATGATTAGATAAAGATGAGGTGCTGGCTCGGCGCCTATAGCTCAACCGGCTAAGGCGCCAGCCA